TATATGGGGTTTGTTAGAGAAAGAACTGTATTTTAATTGAAAATTCTTAAAAATAAGTAAATAAGCATATGTGGCACACAATATCAAAGAGTTAAGCTACAAACTTAAAAATTGTAAAAATTAATAAACGGAATTAATTCTGGAAGGGACTCCCTTAAGAGGTAGAGCCTTTATGGGCAAAAGCTGTTACCTATGTTTAGTAGAGTTGAAGTTTGTACATGCCATTCAGCCTACCAATTGCCTTTCTTCCCACACTTAGTAAACTTTTGAAATATTTTCTTTAAAAAACCTAAATACTATAGAAATTTTAACAAAAAAAAACAAACATTAAGAACCTAAAGTTTTTTTTTTTCGTATTTTACTACCTCTAGGGACATTTAAGGAATATTTTTGTTGTTATAGAAAGATAACTCATACTGGTTACGAGTCACAGTAAACAATGATCATTAAAACCAGTCTTCTAAAACACACTTCTGAAATAATAACCGTTACCAAACTATTTGTTTTTGTTCTTTGAGCGAAAATGTTCCTTTTATGTATACAAATCTTGAGGCCGGCTATTTGTCAATTTTCGTTATGTATTTATGTATGTATGTATGTAAATATTAATACATAGGATACTAATACATTTGTTTATACATATACCTATGTATAACGAAATGAATACCCGTTAAATCCGCAAAAACAGTAGTCTAATAGGCAGATGGTGGAGTCCAGCAGCTTATGCAGTTGCGAACTGATTATATAGAAATTAATTTGTGTGAAGCTCGCAAAGCATTAAGACGTCCCAAGTGGATCGCTAAGAGACTGGTATTTATTTCACTATAACTCAGAGTGTCTTGTACAAGTTTTCTTTCCAACTTAAATTCTATTTAAAAAAAAAAAAAACGCGACTTTTTTTTAAATCAAAATGATGCACACTGTCCGAAGCAATGCTGATTTCGATAGACAATTGTCGGCCGCTGGCGGTCGTTTGGTGGTCGTCGACTTTACAGCCAGTTGGTGTGGTCCTTGCAAATGCATTGAACCTAAGGTTAGAGCGCTTTCGAAAAAGTATAAGGACCGCGCTGTCGTACTAAAAGTGGACGTGGACAAGTGCAGTAATGTAGCACATGATTACAGAGTTTCCTGCATGCCGACATTTGTATTCATAAGAAACGGTCGTAAGATAGATCGTTTTTCAGGAGCTGATGAAAGGGAGTTGGAGTATAAAATGTCGAAAATGGCAAGAGCTAAGTGAGCAAGAGAATTTAAGTGTTAAGAAAATGATTAAATTTTGTATTCTGATTGTTTTGTGATTATAATTGTGAAAATTAATGTTTTTTGTATTGTACTGAACTTGATGAACGTTATTGTAATCTTTTAAAATTTGTAAAATGCATCTGGTATGACATTCAATTTTTTTATTAATATTGTACAACTATAAAGTTAAAAATCTTACGATTAACTGAGAATAAAAAGGACATTGAGCTATCTAATTTAGGTAGTTTTTTTATTTTGGCCATCAGACGTCCAGATCTGTAGAATGTTATTTAAAGGTTTGTAAGTTCATACATAATTCCTACACTACATTTTTAATAATCAAGATTTTGAACTTCAGTCGAGAAATGGCTTCTCGACTGCGCGCTGAATTCAAATAGGAAAATTAACAGTTGACTAAATAAAAAAATGCTAAAATTAACCTGGTGTTTAAAGGACTTCCATCTTAATATAGAAAGAAGAAGGCCTTTAATTGATGGCAGTCCATTCAAAAAAGAAAGGAGAAAGGAATGTATAGTGGAAGGGTTTTTACTCCTGAAATTATCAACTGGGTTATAAAATGTTGTATATTTAATACAGCCATGCACGATGAACATTTTGGCGAGCACGTTCTCGACTCGCATTCAGCGATCGGACATTTTACCACATTGTGGTAGATCTGCCCCTTTTTTGAGCATCTACCACATCTACCATACAAGGTCTGAAATCTACCACATATTCGCGTTTTTGAGTAGTTTTATTTTTGCTCGACATAATATTCTTAATTTTAAGAGCAAAAATTGTCCAACACTAAACACCAATAACAGGCAGAATGGGAGGATAAAATAAACTAATATTATGTTGGCCCCATTTAACTTGTTAAATGAAAAAGAGCTTTTCGGAAAACACAATCGTCCACATTGAACATTTGGAGTTAACTTTGACGGTTGTTTGATTACCAATAAAAATTCGAAAAAAATATTCATGTCTGCTTCATGATATTAACGCATACGGATTACTTAGAGACTTCAAAATGTTTAGCTCGTATGCACTATTTCTCTGCGTACGATGAGACCTCATGGGAAATAACTAATTACCGCCTGGGCCTCTTTTTTGGCGGGCGGGCATGCATACAATTTTGATATTTTTTTATAATTTTTAATTTTTAATATTTTTCAGAATATAAATTTTTTGAACGTTGGCGTGTCAAATGAAAGCTTTTGGGTCTTTCAGATTGGCCGGAGCAGAAAGCTTTCTGACACAACTCTGCGTTGAACTGGTTTTCAAGCGAGTTAAATGATTTTACTGGTTCAACTTTCCAAAAACAATTGCATGCGATTTAACTTGTTCATGAAAATGTTTTGTTCATTTAACTGGTTCAAGCCCATTTAGGGCCGGTTGTTCAATGTCTGGTTATCCCCACTTGCCGGCTAAACATCATTGTCGACGTTTTCGAGATCACGCATATAACATGTGATCGATAAAGCAGTCGTTGTATTTAACCGGAGCTTCTACCTCCGATTTGTGCTAATCAGACATTGAACAACCGACCCTTAACATGTTTAGCTCGTCAATTTGAACGTAGTATAAAATAATAAATTTTCTCAATATTCAATTTTTCGACAGGGAACGTGGTTTTATTGTGTTAAATTGCAAAATATATGATTTATGAAAAGAATTAAAGCGAAAATGTTAAAAAAACGGCGATTTTTGTGAAAGTATTAGCAAATTTATTTCTAGATTAAATAAATAAATTTCAGTGCATCTAAGTTCATGTTCACATTACCAACATAAAATACTTAGTTTCGTTTAAAATACCTCACTAAATTAAGTGCGTTCATACACGCGATTCTTTAATTGTCTTGACAGCTTTGTAGCAACCCTGTGTTATTGTTTATTTAACCAAAAGAGATCGCGAATGTGAGTAATTGCGTATATTTTTATATTCTGAGTTGTTTGTGGTAATTTTTTAGATTTTAGATGAGTGATCAAAAGAGAAAGCTTCTGGAAATATTTTACAAACTACCACGCGCGATTATTAAAAACAAAAACGTACAAACACAAGGCCATATCAGTTATGGGACAATACTTTTTTCGATTATTATCGATAAAATTAGAGCCGACACTGATTTGTTCGTGATTTGGTTCTTGGTTTAAGATAAACTACGTACTTTCAACTTAATTTACTGAGAGACTTTACAAGGCGAAATTACTTAGTTTGTACTTAATTTATGCGTAAATTAAGATTGACCTCTAAATTACGCTAATGGGAACATAGTTTAAAGTTTCTAAAGCGTTGTTTACTTTTACTTGAGAATTGTCAAAATCGGCAAATCGCAAGTAGCGGTTTCTGAAACGTACCACATTTATTCGCTAAATCGTGATGTGATAAAAAGAAAAGCTGGCAGCACTCCGCAAGGTTGCAGAAATCTTTCAAAATATGTTCGAAAAATATGTTGATATGGAAGGAACTGCTTTAAGCGAAGCGCACATTGGCGCGATTCTGTCGTTGCGAATCCGCAAGCCCAAAAATTACAACAATGCTACCCATACATTTTAATGCGCTAGCGCACACTTGCACGATTCCGTCGCTGCGAATTTTTCGAACCTTCAATGTTCTCTATTGACGCGTTCGAAACGCGGCTTGCAGCGTTTTGAAGGCGTCAAAGAAGAAGAAGAAAGGTGTCACAGCAATAAAGGCAAAGAAAAAAAAACGTGTAATATACAAAAACTAATAAAAACGTTCGTAATAATAGTATTTTGTACGATTTGGGCACTCCGAGTGCGAAAATACACGAAATAAAGGGAAAATTTAGTGAATTGTACATCGGAAATCGACGCGAAAAAATCGCTCAAGTGTGCGCACGTTTGCGGATTCGAAGTTAACAGCCGAATTCGCAACGTATTCGCAACGACAGAATCGCGCCAATGTGCGCTTCGCTTTACACGTTCAAGGAAAAAATTGCCACAACTCAACGCAATTTTTACCAACTTCAATCT